TACTCCTTAAAAAAAAAAGTATAAATCGACTTTCTATTTCAGACATAACTTTAATAAAAACTTCTTGGCTACAGCTGACCTACTATACGTTTCTCACACCTCTTCCCGGTACTAGGTAAGTGGCAAACAGGAGGAGCCGGCACTGTACCACCACTTGCTGTCAGTCTGCCTGCCTGCCTGACCCAAATCCCACCTTCATCCCGGAATAAACTCCACCAAAATAAATGTCACAGTATTGCTTCTGATATACCGTGTACTGACTGTACCCCTCAAGCGAAGTAGAGGTGTGTGTCGGTGGTGAGGCAAGGAACTGCGCTAATAGTGTTTAAAAAATGTAAAAAAATAAATAAATAGTCAATCAACTCATCAGAAAGTATATCAACGTCAAAAGACTTTAAATCCTCCAGATCAAAGAGCCCCCTCCCAACACCCTCCCCCCCCCTACCAACCACCACCCAAGACCGGTGTCACTCTCCCACCACCTACCAGCACCACCCACCTTCCTCAGATCAAGGTGACGAGCGCCTCCTGCATAATAAACGACACTAAATCCCACCAAAACGCCCTTACCTCTAGCATGTACCTGTCTCGTACCATCACCTGTGCCCGCCTACCACACTCAATTAGTACGGCTCCAGGTGTATAACAGGAGCTTATAAAGGGGATGAGAGGCTGAGAAGAAATATGGAGCACAAAACACAGGTGTGACTCGGTACGTGTGTGTGTGTGTCCAATATCACTATCACCACCACCAATGCAACCACAATCACTACCACCAAGGTCATCATTACGGGAAGCAGCAGCAGCTATGTAGTGCCGGTAGTAAAGCCTTGTAACGTGGGCAGAATTCACACTATACGGTAAGTCTAGTTAGTACAGCATCCCCACCATAACTCTCATAAAACCGGTAGTCAGGGGGAACATGAGGTAAAACAGTGGTAATATAAAGTAATACACTATAGTTCCTTTTCCCTTCAATAGCAGGTGTAAGGAATCTCGCCACACTCACACTGTCAACCAAATCAGTGAACTTCATACATAACAAAAATCATCTACTGTACAATGTTTGTCATTTTCTTGGGCTCAACTTTTGCCCTTAAGATTATAATCCGTATACATCGTGACCAGTAAAATGTTAAGAGTTCATACTGTATTTTGAAAAACCTGTCACTCTCCTGTCAAGTTCCAAATACAGGAAACAGAATAAAACACACACTGTAACTGCTTCACACAGGTTACCTTTAACTAACGTAAGTTTGGTTAAATGAGGAAAGTTTAAAAGATTATTACTAAACTTTTAAAACATCCGTAAACAGTAACCAAGGCTACCAGCTTCACCTAGATGATCAATGCATTTTTCGTTGCAGCAAACTGAATGAACTCCAACTATTCTCATGATACAAAGAATGTAAATTTTAATAGAGTGACGAGAACAGGTAGCACATTAAATTTTATTCGACTTGAGAATAGCACCTCGAGATTAACTTTAACCCCTTCACTATAGGGACGCCACTTTAATATTTTACTTTGCTGACGTCAGAAGATTTTATTCAGCCATGGTTAGTAGACTATATCCCCCAAACACCTAACCTAACCAAACCTGCAGATCATGCAAGTGGCTTGACACCTCAATGTAAGGATGTAACCCCGTGTCTAGACTGGACCTCACAAACCAGTCCAACATCTATACCAACCATGCCACTTGTATACAATGGCTGGTCGTAGCTAATACAGGATGTTTCCAAAGTCTCGTGACGTTTGTGCTTACAAAATCCCTCCTGGAATTTAAATATTCAAAACATAAAAATTTACGTAATATTCTACACACGACAACATTCTTCACTACTCAGATTTATGGTCGAGTATATACCATGGTGGATGGTTATAATGTGTTCTTTACAAATAGGCCTCCACGTCAAGGGATAATTAATGCTAAAGAAATTAGGGTGAAGAACAGTTTACAATATTAATTACATCCATATATTTATGGCATTCATTCCAATAGTCTCAGAGATTCAGATTAAGCTTTCTGCTAAAGCCAAAGTGAACAAATGGAACTCTTGTCCACTGTACAATGGCCTGGTGGGATTTTGTTCACTGTAAAACTGAGATTTTGTATAATAATAAATTGCCTGGTATGATTTTTGTTCGGTATAAAGCACCAAGACGCAGACCAACAACACCTGACCCCAGGGCCCCACACCTGCCTCCACTTACTTGGTAATGTGAGTGTCATGGCCCCACATTACCCTAGGTTACGTAAATATTTGCCTACAATACCAAGGAGAGTGAAAGCCAGGCTATCTAAAGGTGCTGGCTGCCCTGGGACGGTGGGGAGAAAGGGGGAAGGGGGAGGGAAGGGGAGGGGGAAGGTTCAAGGCCTCCACTCCACATTCCCTGGTAATACACTAACCCCTGACTGTGATGGTAGGACCGAACCCCGCCTACTCTTCCTTGTGGTGACGGTGACTGAGTGTCACACCATATCCTATTTAATCCAACCTATACTTGTGGTGGATACATGACAAAATCTCACCAAATATAACCTATAGTTGGGGGATAAAATTTCATCTAATTCGTTGGAGGAAAAAAAATCCACCCTAACCTACTTTGACCAAGCCCAACAAGATGGAGAAAAGGACAGCCAATCTGGTAGCGAGATTCCGTCAGGCTTGTTGTTTTGTTTTGCCGGAAACTATTTGGTGAAATCGTGTCCGCATACCAGTTGCGGCATATCTGCTCACCATTTATCAGCACCGACTCTTCTTAACTCATCCAGACTTAATCAACATGGGATAATTACACTAAATTATAAAAATACATCACTATCTCTAGATATAACCTAAACTTACATACAGGCACTTGACCGCCAACGAGACCATGTAATAAACCTATCCGGCCCTAACAGAGCCTATATACGGCATAAGGCCATCAGTTGTTTCCTAATGTGCATTTTATGACGCCATCAGTTATCAGTAGTGTGCGATAACCCGTTTCTACCGTTACCACTACATGAGCTGAATATATATGTTTCTATCGAGTCTTCTACCAAATAAAGCGCAGCCTGTACGCTATAGATCAACCATAGCGGAAGTAAAATTGCGACCATGCGGATAAAAAGACATTGACGGACATGTCGAATGGATACATAAACAAGTAACGACAACTGGATGGACGGCCGCCGAGACTGGTTCTGCCATCCAAGTATGCACGGAACTGGCTACACACCGCGTAGATCATGTTACAGGAAGTGTGATGAGAGTCGTGTCTTTATTTTGACCCGCCAGCCTTGATAATGTGGGTCATACCTAACGCATTGCATAACAATATGACAGCTGCAGCACAGAATGACAGTACCACGCGACACACTACAACAATTTCACACAACGCAGCTGCACACACACACACACCATAGCATAGCGTCATCGATGAGTCAGTACAGATGCGCAGGTAAGGTCATCTGTACCCACAAGTGTTCCCTCCCACAAGCTGTGCAAAATAGCGCAGGTCCAACTAGCAGATGGAATGCGCGGGTTATTAGACCCAAGTCACAGTAACTTCACTGATTATAACTAACACTTAAGGCACAGTTCTGGAAGACTCGAAGCTAATTCATCCGTGAAGCTCTTGTTAACCGGGGTGACACGGTACAGGCCTAGTGAAGGTGGTGGGGCTAGTCCGGCAGCCTGCGGCCCCGTACTACCACTGCCTGATTAATATTCTTAATACCAAGCCCTCACGTTCACCAGTACCTCCTCTAAAGGCTCACCTTTACACGTGATCCACACTAAATTTCACGTATGACTGAACACTCTGTAAGTCTTCTTTCATAACAAGGAAGAGACAGATTCACTTACCAAATTATAGTAATGAATTTTGTACTTCACTTTCCATAAAATTACATGTACAATACTTATAATTTACCCTGATAATGTTCTTGTATATTATTAGTTTACATTACAGATGAATACTCGTTCCCTCGTCATAAGTGTAGGGGAACTGAACATGTATTTTTAAACAACTGGTAAGGCCGTTTTCTATAATGGCGAGTGTGACATTTAATGCAAAAAAAAATGAAAATTCTATCTAACCAATAAAATCAAACGCACATACTGGGCAAGTACGGCAGCTTTAAAATATTTCCCGGCACACCCACGTCCTGCTGGCGTCATTCCACGTCTGAGGTGAACAAGATTGAACTCTTTGGTGTCATCATCACTTTAATGCAGGAAAACCACTCGGCCGAAGCATTTGTATGTTTACCCAATCATCCTCACGTCTTGAGAATACTACTGGAGATTCATGTATATATCATACTGTACATACATAAAGTATATGTGGAGGTATTTCACAAATATGCTGTTACCGGTACCTGTCCTTTTTTTTTTAAGAAAGCGAACCCAAATGACAAATTACGATTATTTATGTCAACTTTCCTATGATCTTGTGACACTTTCGCCAGACAATAGAATATATGTCGTCTAGTCAAAGTGAACACACTGCCTGTCTGGCCCCGGTGGTATACAGGTAACGGTAACAACCACCGGCCTGACAACACTATCATAGTGAGACAGATTTACTCGACACGTTGTTGTGAGAGCTGCTTCAACCTGGGTTTAAGTGGACCCTTCTCAAGTTCCCAGTGTAATGGATGCAAACACTCACAATAAACCAATTTTATGAGCTATCTGGTGTAAGTCAACCCCACATTTCCAATATGTTGTCGTGGCAATTAGAATTCACCAAATTCCTGGAGTAACTCCGTAAGCGGTGATCCAAGGGACGCGGAAATCTTGATTTTTTTCCTTTTATTTTCGCAACTATCCGATAATTTTCGTCACACTGATTAGTACAACTTGACTGTAATCGGCCTAAGACATGCTAGACTCACACCGAGTTAGTATAGACACGACGATCTGGGGATTAGATTATCAGGAATTAAGAGCTAAAATACGTTATCAGTGAGGGACGCACACGGAATAAAATGCTACAAGACAAACCTTTTTCTGCTGCTTCTCCCAGGCAGGGTCCAACAGTCCCTCGCGCTCCCACTCCTCCTCCGGCTCCATGTACTCTTGGTCGTTCTGGTATTCCATGTCGTTCTCCAATTATGTGGAGGAAAGGCTGTTATAAACTATCGCTAGTGAGGGGGAGGACGAGCACCACCACAACACCACACAACCACCACACCGGGAGCGGCGAGATCCACCCGATCCAGGAGAACGAGCGGCACAGCACTGAGACGCCCCCGCCCCCCGTTCACCCGCGTTGCCAATAGCCATCCCCCAACATGTTGTACGTGAGCTTAATATAGTATAACAAAAACTTTCTTCTCTGATCATAATTAATATAGATTTTCATTCTTATGACGCTATTGCATATATATTTATCTCTTAATTGTAGGCAAGTGATAAGTAATACGAATTATGCATATATGTTAGAATGCAACATATACCGGGGAGCATTAAGCCATCTTGGCAAACCTCCATATAAGGCAGGTTCGACTACACTTCAGCATCGAATACAACAATAACTGTTACAAGCGTAATAATATAAAGTTATTATTGTGGGTAAAATTTAGACAACAATACGCTTAAAAGATTCAAAATATTTAACTGGCAACTCATCGCAAGGATTTTCAAAACAAACCGACGCGCTGTTTCTGTTTATTCCAGTATCTTCTATATTAAATTTGTATAATCAATTTGTAATAAATAAATTACACAAATTTTATGCTTATAGTTAGCACTGGTAAAATATTAACGGTTCTGTATTCATAGTCCCAAAATAAGAATGTTCGTAACAATTCCCCACACCCTTGGCGGACGTACAATTCAACGCACTTTGTACTTTACAAATAAAATCAGAGTAAAAGTAACGTTTATAAGCTATTTTGAAATAAAAAGTTGTCTATTGATTTTGCACAGATTAAAGGAATTTATAAGTTCAATTATATGTAGTACCAGTAATAATCGTGTGAAAGTAATCGCTTGGTTTAGTTTCTCTTTAATAAAATCAAACCAGTAACTCTTCACGTACAAAATTATTTTCTCAAATACCACTTAACTGTGATGAGTCTTATGTTCTTTCTTTCCAACAGCCTCAATCGCACACCATTCGTTCATTTTCTAGGGATCGTGAAATTTGGAGCTCAAAGAGAACGAGAAAAATATTCCATAACACCATAAGATTATCATTATGGGAAGCACTTAAACTTACCTTCATTTCCTAGTGATTGAAATAGAATGTGGCTGATTTTTATATTCGAAAACTTTAAATAATTCCCATACACTAAAAACTATATCAATAGGAAACCTAATATTTTGCGCAAATGTGGCCTAACGTTACTGGAAGATGAAACGTACATTACATATCCACGCACCCTTGATGAATTAAGAACAATAATCAGTGACAATTAGCAATATTCCACCAAAAATGCTACACTATGTATTGGAGAGCTTGCTGAGGAGAATAAATTTGTGTCTGCAACATAGTGGTGGGCACTTCAGGCACTTTATTTAAGGTAATCAATTGTGGGGGTCATGTCACGCCTTTCTGTAATACTAAGCTACATTTTACGCAAACAATTTGGTTCCTAACTGATAAATTTTTTGATGTATGCGAATTATTTAGGAGTTCTCATAAAATCGCCCTGTATCATAAATGGGTTATTTTGTTTTTATTGTAATCATTATGGAATACGAGTAGGGGTTCATTTACATAAATTTTACTAATAACGAAATATTCTGTTTACTAGATTCATAGGTATAAATTGTACTTATTTTAGTTTTTAATTGTTGATCTTTAGTGAAGTACTTCCGAGAGCAATCGCATCAAGACTTCGGCCTTTTAAGAATCGCAGTAATACAATCATATCAACGTCAACTCAAAGGCTTACTCCACCAAGTTATGGCTGATTTGCGTTTTTTTACAAGGACACAGTTACTAGACAGGGATAATGCGTATATGTGTAACCCTAAGGTATAATTACCTAAAACGATAACTTCTATGAATTTATATTTTCTGGAACTTGTGACTGGCCGTAGATGATTATATAGATCATAATAATTTACTCATTCCATAGAAAACCTAACTTAACCACCTTATACCTAACCTAATTTATGTATAATTTAACAATGTTACGTCCTAAGTGAAAGTGCAAATCTGGCCATACATGTATAAAAGGAAATAATAAAAATTAAAACAAATAGTATTAACAGGATTTGCTTTAAGATCAACCTATGTATTTAACTTCAGTTCCTCTGCCCTCACGTTTATTTCCATTCCCTATCCTTTCCCAGTGATAATAATCATCGCCCTGGTAACCATTAATCGGTGGGATTTTGTACTGAACTCCCATACACTGTACGTGAACAAAATTACAGCGGAAAATCACAAGAATATTTCTCAAAATTCAATCGCCAAAGCAGTAAAGTGGAAAATCCCCCATCTCGGGTTAGGTTAAGAATTTACTTTAAATCGTCTTGAATATAACATATCTACCGTATTGCTTTGAAAACAACTAAGCTTGTAAAGTTTTTGTCATTTGATTACTATGCTGGCGGAGGAATTTTGTCCACCGAGAGTTGCCAGGTGTATATTTTCCAGTGGGATTTTGAAAGTGCATCATTTCTCAAGAGTCAACTAGCCTGACGTAATCGACATGAACTCAAAGGCCTGTACGTTAAATTTCCTCTCTAAATGAGTAATGAGAGAGTGTCACTCCTTCACTTAACCTACGACACAAACGTGGCAACCAGAATGACTGAAAATCGTACCGGAATAATGAAATAATGCCGTAACAAAGATATTTCTTCTAGTCATCAGTTAGTGAAAAGATAATGTAAGGAGTTTTCCAGAATCCTGACCCTGGCCACTTGCAATACTACCGTCTAGAAGACCATAACTTTATGACAAAAATCTAGTTTCAGATTTTTTATGTACAGTAGAATATTCAAAATTATTCGCTTTGTAAACTACTGTTGTGTGTTGTCAAATTCTAAACACTGAAAGCTACAGCTATGAACTGCACAGCACTGAGGTAAAGTCTGTGGTGAAGGTTTTGGCCACGTGAATTTTGTGTTCGAGGTACTACGATGAGTCACGAGCAAAACATGACCTGGCTCTACCTACCCAGCACATACTGTCGGTGCCAGCATATATTTGTACCACAACACTTCATCAGAAAAAATTCCCATAAAGATTCAAGTTAAGTAATATTTTGCATTTGTATGTTTAAAAAGAAAATAAGATACATGCAAATAGCAACCAATCAAAACAATGTTGTGTACATAGTCTACTTTTCTTCGCGATATAATTCAAGATTATTGGGTCTCAAATAATACTTCAGATCACTTTTTATTCGAGTCTTAATGGAGTGGGGTTTTCATTTCAGAGAGCGCTAGGAGTATTTCCTGAACTCTGACGCCAGCGACCGTTTAGCGTCGATGTACGTCACAATATATTTACAGAGGGAAATGACGACCTTGGCTTACGCATGAAAGACGGGATGTAAATCTTTGTGATGTATTGCATATAAGACTACATAAAATGTCGGCTACAGTCATTGTCGTTGGTGGTAAACATAACCGTGTGATGATAAAGCTTGCGACAGAGGGCACTTACACAAGCAGTGTTCTATTATCAGTAGTGACGCTGGATTAATATAAAATACGGCCACATGATATACTTTTCATTGCAAGAACGCTCCCAGTAAGCTTTGTTTGAAACAGTTATGCATGAACGGCCACTATATGGTGATGAGCTCGTCTAGTCCGAGATACTTTAGACAGTAAATCTATCCAACGTGAAGGTGAATCCCCAACCTGAAGGGCATGATTGTGTAACACCGAGTATAGCAGGTTAAAGAAAAAACTATAACATTCAAGGGCACCTAGTTCTCTCCGCAAGTGCATACAGTCACCTGCCACTAAGAAACGTGTCCAACGATACTTCATGTCTCGGGCGACGACACTAGGGTGTGGAGGCAGCTGGCAACTCTGCTGCCACCTCAGGGGGTAGTACCTATTTTCCAAGGTAGTGGCGCGCCGCACAAAAATAGAAATCTAAGCCTGGGACGGATCTTGCCGCTCACTTTCTTAATTATTCTCTGCAACATCCTTCCGGTTTTGGGACGAACACTATACAAATGTAGGTGTTCAGGCAAAAGGTGTGTGTTTTCAGAAGAGAAATTTACAAAGACAAACGCAACAATGACTCAATTGAGTTTCCCCAACTTAAGAAATGAATGCTTTATCATTTTACCACTTACCAGCTTAAAATATTTTCATTCATTCATCTGTATGAAAATACCATTTTAATTTAAAGAATTACTTTTCACATCGGGCTAATTAGAAAGATAAAAAATTGCAAGGCATATTAATTTTTTCCAATTACTATACGAGTATACTGTATAAACTTTTACTCGTCATGTAGGAACACGCCACATTTTGCTACAGATAATACTGTAGCGTGCCAGGTTTTGTGCAACACTGGCAGTATTGTAGTGTGTCGAGTCGAGGCCAGCGGCAACCAAGGGCAGCGAAGAACAAGGCTAGCGTCAACCAAGGCTAACATTGACCAAGGCTAACGTTTACCAAGGTAAGCATTAACTAAGGGAGGACAGTGTCAGCCACAACAGGAGACGACGGCCGTTGGGTGGGAGCGGCCGTGACCGTTAACATAGAGGACGCCGCTCCTTCCCCGTCACCTGTCTGTCTAATCTCTTCACTTGTCTGTCTGCCAGCCTGCGTGTTTCTGCAATTTACTGTCCATTTATCTACATGCCTGTCCATCGGTTTGTTTACCTGTCTTTCCCCTGTCATTCTTTCTCTTAACCAGTCAGTTTGTCTACGCTTCAGTCACAGGTGATAGACAGGTGTTGCCATCTCAAAAGAGTTACGTTATGCATCCGTTCAAGTCTGTCCACTTCATTTACCTGTCTACTCTCCGTAAGGCACACACAGTAATATAGTCTTAACTGTTATCTTCCTTTGTTTTCCTTTCGAGTTGTCCTTCACTCATCGTTTTTCTAATCCCCCTTTTTCTCGCTTTATTCATCTGTTCCTCGTTTTATTTTATATATATATATATATATATATATATATATATATATATATATATATATATATATATATATATATATATATATATATATATATATATATCTTTCAATTCATTTTCCTCTTTTCCCAACACTTTTATTTTCCCTCTAACACATTTCCCTGTTCCAACATATTTCCCTCCTCA